CAGTGTGAACTGTTGTTGAATGGGAAAGTGTGAAGACTCTTCAAAATACCTAATTTTTTGTTCCACAGAAGAAAATAAGTCATGAGGGTTTGGAATGATAAGAGTTAGTAAATAATAACCGTTTTCACTTTTGGGTGAATTATTGTTTTAAAGTTGGTTGTGACACCACTTTTTTTTTATTCCTGGTCCATCTTCACTCTCTGGAGTAATTTAAAATTTTGTAGAAAGTGTTCCGTTCCCTTGAGATGATCTAGTCATATTGCTCTTTTGCCTTAATTTATATAAGCTTTTTTTTATGGGTCGTTTTCTCTTCTCAACTTATTTAGAAGTTTTTGATCAAATTCTGCTCTGTGGAAGCACCAAGATGTGAGCTGTGCAGTGAAGAGTAGTGGAGAGCGGGTGGTTATTTAATCTGGTGTGAGCAGTAGAGCTGATTTACTGAAGCCTTTAATGTTGCTGCTGGCTCTCTGCTCTACTCAGCAGTAATGGCTGCTTTTGTATCAGTTCTGATTTGTCACGTCACGTGCTTTCCAAATTAACTCATCATGTCTTTTGATTACCCAGTGTGACCACTTCCTCCCCAGTTGTCATCACTCCTATGCCCACCATGGCTGTGAGCTTATAGATGGATTTCTGTATATATCATTTTTACTTATTTAAATAATTGTATGTATTTACTTTTGCGTATGTGAGCTCTAAAATTAGGATGTGTCATTTGCACATATTAAATATATAAATGCATTTTTTATTTTTTTTATTTTTAAATGTGATTATTTATTTAAAGCAGCACTCAGTAGGAATTCCGTTTTTGTCAAACAGCGACCCCTAGAGTCGCTGTGGAGTACTTGTACTGTCGTGAATAGCACTCACGCAGAGATGGCTCGCACTCACGGCCGGATCCCCTCCCCCTGTACACCGGTACCTGTTCAGTTGGATGGACGCTGTAACGAGTGGAAATAAGGTATGGCCCCTTTAAGAGCTGCGCACGCGCCCTGTTTAACTGTCGGCAGTCTGTATTGTATGTGCGCCTCGAACACCACATGTATACGGCGCCGGGTTATTTCTGTTTGATGCTCATTTTATCAGAATTTTATCAGATCTGTTTTTTTGCCGTAAAGCAATTCGTTACCTCGCGAGACCTGATATCACACGATACTTCCTAACACTCAGGCCGGCGGCTCGCCGGCCCAAAGTTGCAAGGGTGGTTTTGCGGCTCACAGGCACCAGGGGGGTGCGAGACGACCACCATTCAACACAAAATCAGTAATATAAACATTACAATGACTCCAAAGCTGTTCGGTTAAGGTAAAAAAGTTACTTAGTTCACCTTTAACAAATGAATGTTAGATCCTTCTTTCTCCCCTTTCCTTGCGTTCTTCATTACGGACACATTTGGCTCAATTTTTTTAATTCTATGATCTAGTATGAAGTAGGGCTGCCCCTTAAAGCTGCAGTAGGAAGTTTTGAGAAAACGTTGACTTAGCCTGAAAACTTGAACAAGCACAACTTACAGGTCCCACCCCCTTGCTCTCTGCTGCGCTACAGCCCTCCCTCCACAGCTCGTCCTCCACAGCGGAGCCTGTCGTGAACGCGCAGGCTAGTAAACAGGGCCACCGATAACAGCGGATAAAAAGTTATATGGCACATTCACTAATAGGGACTAAACGTCAATAATATGCTTTACATTGACTATGGCCTGCCCATACTTTGACTACAAACTTGGTCCTCAAATCATTATGTATTTTGCAATAGCCTACATGTAACTTTATAACGTTGCACTCTTTCTATAAGTTAGCTAGTAAGATAACGTTAATATAACGGTAACTAACGTTACAGTATGCAAGTAATTATTCTAGCGATATATAATGCTAGATAAGGTGTGCTAGTACATTATTTCAGCAACATGACAAGCCAGTGAATTAGCAGATTTCAATTGTTGCTTAGCAGAGTGCGTGACATTTTATCTACATTTTATTTATGTTATGCGGCTAGAGTTTTGACACCGAGTCAATGGGCTCAAGTGTAATTCTTTCTTTTTCGCTTGTTTATCGTCATCAGTCTTTTTCCTTTTACCTCTTTGTTTTATGAGCAGGTGTCACTCGAGAATTGGCCGTTTAGGTTGTTTCTCCGTCATAAGCACAGCTGAAGCACGCCGGCAATCTTGAGTTTGAACGACGGCTCGCGCTGTGCAAGAGAGGGGTGTGACCAGCGCGTACACGAGCGTGATTGACACTGCTAAGACATTCCTCCTGGCTCTGATTGGTTGTTTCTGACCGGGAGCGTGTATTTCTTGCAAATGGCAATAGGACCACTGGGAGGAGCCAGAAGAGCTTGATTTTTACACAGATTATCTGTCTCATATTCTACTGTCAGGACATAATGACAGTTTTAGCAAATACATTTTTTCAAAAGTTACCTACAGCAGCTTTAAAAGTCGACGAAAAGAGGCTTAGTTGATCGAATTTTAATTAGTCGGCTAGTCGCAGAGAAAAACAAAACACCACAGGAATCAGTCCGATGACGCTTTAATACCGCTGGTCCATGTGGTAATTATATCGGGCATAAAATCCAAACGTCGCTTTTCATTCATTGGCATCAAACATGGCTTATCATTTGAAAAAAGTAGCTTAACATTAGCCACTTTACAAGGCCACTCGCTCAGTTAACCCGAGATAAATGTGCGTTGAAGTTTCAGGGCTGTTTGTCAGCCCTGAAACTTCAACCATTTTCCGTTATTAAATTCATATTCCATTATTAGGGTTTGTGAGGTAGACCAAGTTCTCTCTTATCGTCCACTCATGCCTGCCAGGAATGTATTAGCCTTGTGACTTTAATATTGTTGCCCTTTTTTATTCATGCATTTCAGTGCTCAAGAAGCAGAAGCTATGTTTTTGCTACTTTATGAATCCGAATCATGTGTACACACTTTCAGCTTTCTGACAACCCAACTCGACTCAGTTGACTCATATAGTAGCTACATGCAGTCTGTGTACTTTATGATTCTTTACACACAATCCTGAGTGCGTGCTTTAAAGGCTGAGACGGACTTGTGAAAGGATTTACAGTAATTGCAGACTGACAGAAAGCGCTCAGGCTCTCATAATTCTCCCTGCAATGTGAATCCCTGGCGTGTTCATATTGTGACCATGCATCTTTAGGGTTTTAGCTCAATTAGATTATCCATTTGATCCAGTCTCACAGATTACATCCTCCAACCCTGGCTGTCTAAACAAATCAGTTACTGTCTAAGGAATGTCTATCATCTTTATGGATTTAGTTTGTTTCCTGTTTTTGAAGAACACTGTTAAGGTTAAAAACTAGATGTATTGGTGGTGCGGATACATATTTCCTTCGCCTACAGTGAAATGCATTGCCTGTTTTGTAGGGAGGGTTATGAAGGGAAATGGAGCTGAAAAATACTTCCTTGCTTACTTCCAAATGTCTATAAGCTGCCAATGTCACCTCCTCCTCAAATGCAACATTTTCTTCTGTTTTTATTTTTTTTACTTGATATAACAACATTGCTATTACTATTGTAAATATTTAGGGGGTTAGAAGTTTGTTTTAGCCTGTAAGATTATTTTCTCTGTAAAGATTATTTTGTTTCTTTATTCTTCTGGAAGAACAAGGAACTGCTAGGAGACACAAAGAGCTATAGATGAATTTAAAAAGAGAATTAAATAGCAGAAAACATGAAACTTTGATTGCTGATAAATAATAGATCTATTTAACTTTTTTTTTTTAAATGTTTCAACATATAATTAATATTAATGCTCTAGTATTCTGATATACTGATACTTTTCTTATTAAAGCTTTAAGCTGATTTCGAAACTAAGATGATGAAATAATTTCAACAAATCAATATTTTGTGCTCAAATAAACTGCTGTTCAAAGGTCTGGGGTTGGTAAGAATTTTTAAAATGTTTTGAAAGATGTCTCTAATGCTCATTCATTCATTAAAAAAATCTACATACAGTAGAAACATTAATATTGTAAAATATTATTAATATTCAAAATAACTTTTCTATTATAGTATATTTCAAATTGTATTTTTTTCCTGTGATGGCAAAGCTGAATTTTCAGCATCATTACTCCAGTTTTCAGTGTCACATGATCCTTCAGAAATCATTCTAATTTGCTGATTTGGTGCTCTAGAAACATTTATTATTATTAGCATTATCAATATTGAAAACAGATGTGCTGCTTAATATTTTGTGGAAACCGGGATAATTTTTTTTCAGGATTCTTTGATGAATAGAAAGTTCAAAAGAACATAATTTATTTGAAATAGAAATATTTTGTTTCATCTATCTTTTGATAAACTTTATAAATATCTTTACTGTCACTTTTGATCAATTTAATGCATCCTTGCTGAAATAAAACTATTAATTTCTTTAATAAAAAAATCTTACTGACCCTGAACTTTTGAATTTCATCAGTGGTGTATTTATTTATAAAGTAGCTGGGTAATAAAGTGGAACAAAGTAGCCTATTGTCATTCAGTCATTATCACAAAATAAACCCTTTCTGTCATATCTGATTTTTTTTTGTGTGTTGTCCCTATGCAAATATTTGAAAATATATAATGAAATACTAGAAACTGTGTTTGTCATATTGCAGGTACGTAATAATCTGGAGAGTTCTGACCCAGAAAGTTTCTGAATCTCCCATATGTCCCAGAAGCACATGATGTTCCACATTACTTTTAGGTCCAACTCACGGTTCTGTTGCTCTGCATGCATGCTACAAAGTATCCACAGATCGTGAATGCTTAAATAGGCCATGTATCATCAAGGGAAGAGATGAGAGGGATGTTAATGTGTGTGTGTGTCCACGTGAATGGCTCTTAAAGCATCCTGATGGGTGCTGGGAAGATGGATCTGTCTGTGGTTTCATCCAGTTCATGAGTTAAGTGCACAGATGGTCCTGACAGCCCGCAGACAGGAGCCTTTCATTATGTTTGATCAGTGTCTATTTCTCTGTTTTTCTCTCACATGCAGGAAAGACCAGAATCTCTTGTCTCCGGTGAACTGCTGGTACCTGTTGCTGAACCAGGTTCGACGGGAGAGCAAAGATCATGCGACATTGAGCGACATTTATCTGAACAACGTCATCATGCGCTTTATGCAGATTAGTGACGACTCCACACGTCTTATGAAAAAGGTCCGTGTTTTTGATTACATTTCAAAGACCTCCAGTCTCTAAATGTTCTTTAAAGTCTCAAAATAACTTGTTGACTCCTGAAAACATGTTTTAAAACATGCTATAAAATAAAACAGCATTCAAGGAAAATTCATTGCAAATATTCAAGTTGGCAGCCATAATCTCTTTATTGATAATCAGGCTGAAGATACACTACTGTTCAGTAGGGGTCAGTAAGATTTTTTTTATTAAAAAAATAAAATCATATTTTTATTCAGTGAGGACACATTAAATTGATCTGAAGTGACAGCAAAGACATTTAAAATGTTAGAAAATATTTGTTTCAGAAAATTGCTGTCACATTAAAGCTCCAATCCGTAACTTTTTTAAGTTAAAAATAATCCAAAATAATTATATTAAAAAAAACTTATTCTGCCAGTGGTCAAAACTATCTGCTTGCCATAGCTAGATTCAAAACGGTTAGCTTGTAATAATGATTTTAATTCCAGTGGTACTGGTGGGTTTCCGCGGGAAATTCGAGCATGTCTTTGCATCATTACGTCACACCCGTACACATAAAGGAGGAGTTTCGGCTAACCGGCTATACTGCGCGTGACGAGATGTTTAGATGTATAGGCTTTTCTCGCAGCACTTTACATAATTAAACTTATGGCATCCAGAAAGATCCAAACAACAATCATCAGTGTCAACTGGAGATTCAGCAGTTATAAAACCCAAAAGACTTCGTACTTCGGAATTAAGGTGGCTAGAGAAAGAGAAAGAAACCGTCTCATGCGAACACAAGGATTTAAACATCGGCGGGGCTTTTGAAAAGTGCGTGAACTCCGTGTTTTGAAGGGGTTGAAAACGGAAGAAGAGACGGCTTTTTTCTGCTGAACAAGTAAGACATTTCAATAGTTCAATCGTGTAACAGTACGTTTTCTTAATTCACACAGTTGGAGTTTCCTTTGTTGTGCCTTTCTCGTTTTGCTATTATGGAGAATATGAATTCTGAACTACGCAGGTAGCTGCTAACCATAAAACACATTAAATTTAACATTAGTCACGCAATGCTGATGTTGTTAACATGAACAATTTGAGAACAAAGTAGGCTATAATTTGCACGGTTGCTGTAAATCGCGTTGATTAAATCTAACGAAGCTTATCATGTCGAATGCTTTTTCCCCCCTTAGTTGGTCAGAACAAAAATGGATTTTACTTACTTGTTCAGAAGACATTTTCTTATGAAAATTCTTATGTTGGTCAAGCTTTCAAAAAGTGAATCTGTGATTCTGTATGACAGTATCCACACAGCGCGGTGACTGACAGCAGCACTCGCCTCAAAGCACTGTGTTCATCCGCGCTGTTTCATGCCGATTTCAACCCACGTAAAGATGATAATTCCGCGAATCACTGCAGTTACAGATTTCGAACAGAGAGATGGCGACAAAGAGAAAAAGATACGGACTGCAGCTTTAAACTTTTTATTCGTCAAAGAATTTTGAAAAAAATAAAATAAAATGAATCACAGTTCCCAAACAAATTTGACCCCAAACTTATTCATGGCCACTTGAATGGTCATTTATAAGTTATTCAGCTCTGCTAAAAAATATATATATTTTTAAGGAATGTTAGCATGCTAAGTAAATATTTGACAAACTTTTCACTTGTCACTTAATTTTTTTTTTACTTTTTCCATGTTTATATCCATCGTAAGTGTGTTATAGTACTGTTTACAAAAAATATATTTTCTTTGGTGATCAACAATAATGCCTGTGTGCACAAATGCAGTCGATTAACTTTTGAACATTCCCTTTAAAATTCACATGAAAAAATTATTATCTGCCATTCTGGAGAATAACAACCAGCTGTTAATCAAGACACCACATCTTATGGCGTAAATGTGAAGTAGAGTTATTTTTAGCTATGGAAATAGCAAAAAAAAAAAAAAAAACTCTTCGTTGAGCTAGATTACTTTCTCTGTCTATTGTTTTACTGTCAGTCCTCTTTCCTTTTTTTTGTTGTTATTCTTTTGCAAAAGCTATTTTTATTCCTTTTGAATTTTTATATTTCAAGCAGTTCCTGGTATATTTTTGGACCCTAAAAGCAACTTTACAGCATATTTAAGCTTTTCTTAAAGGGATAGTTCAGCCAAAAATGGAAATGATGTGATCATTTACTCACCTTGTTCTAAATTTGTATGATTAACTTTAGATTTGACTTCTTTACTTAGATTTTTATAAATATATTTTTTTTTTTTTCACCGAAGAAAGTATATAAAAAGGTTACAATGAAATTATATATTTAAGTACTGACTAATATTAATCAACAACATGTACTTACTATAAGGTTAGGGTAGGATTAGGGTTTTGTTGAGGGTTAGTTGCATGTAATTACGCATAATTTACTGTTATTACTATGGTAAGAACATGTAACATACAGTATGTAACAAGGACACTGTAAAATAAAGTGTTACCAAAAAGTATTTTAAAAATGTTTCAACTGTTTTCGTCCATACAATGAAATACAAATGGGGTTTAGTGTCGTTTTGGATCCGGACCTTCACAAACCAAAACTATATTTTATTTATTTATTTAAATCTTTTTATTTTCAATATATCCTCCACACAAGAAAGTAAGTCATACAGGTTTGGAACGACATCAGGTGAATATATGATAAAAGAATATCCATTTCTGGGTGAACTATCCCTTTAATAATTGTCTTTGTTATGACAGTCAGCGCAGGTCTTGGTTTCTATCAGCTTTGATATAGTAGAATGAGCTCAAATGGTAACGTTTAGTCAATGCGTTTGATGCGTAGTTTCCTGCGATTGTCATTGCTGTATAAATACTTTTGGACTACCTCAGATGCTGTATTATAATACTATGCAAACCTTTTTGTGAATTGTAATTTCTTCACATGCAATCTATGTGCTGCTTTTGCGGTGTAAAGAGGATTTAAAGACTTTTAAAGTGTACCTGTGTGCAGTTAGTTCTTGCTTATCTCAGATGTGGGGCATGTGATGTTTTGTGGGGTACGGGATTGTTTGTGTGCCTGTATTCACTTGTCAGATTTACGATGGGAGTCTGGCCATACGGGACCTCTGGTTCTGGGCTGCGGTTCTGTTCTGAGAAGTTCCTAAAGACCGAGCTCTAATCATGGCCTCCTGCCTGTCGTTTGATGTCTGCGGCCCCATGACCAAGACGACGTGGCGGTCCCTCCAGCGCAGGCCACAGAAGGGGGACAACTCCCAAACAGATTATGTGCTGCCATGCATGCGAGTCATATGAGACGACCACAACAGCAAATTACAAGGCTGGAATGTGGGAGGTATAAGTTTGGTCTCAAACAGGGGTTATTCAGAGGGCTTGACCAGCAGATCTGACTGGCTTTGAGATGGTTAAAGAGAGAATTCACCCCAAAAATGTATATTCTGTCATTATTTACCCATCCGTATGTTGTTCCTAACCAGTTTGAGTTTCTTTCTTCCATTGAACAGTATTTTAGCCACACTTTTAAAATATAATAAGTGAATCAGAACCGAAGCTGTGAAGTTCAGAACAGTTCAAAAAAGCACCATAAAAGGATCATAAAAGTGGTCTAAATGACTCAAGCCCCCTCATTTTTCCACAAATATAATGGCTTTCGCACATGAGGAACCTTTTTATAGTTCCTAGAACTAAATGCGAATGTACCTACTTTTTGGCGTGTTCGCACCGCAGGAACTGAGAATGGTTTTAGTTCTAGGAACTCCTTTTGGGGGAACTAAATTAGTAAGTGTACGCTGATTAGCCGAACGCATGCGAAACACCACCACCGGCCATTTTTTTTTTAAAGCAGTGTACACACAGATTATAGCCTCACAAACAGAATATTATCTCTCAACCTTTACACTAAGGATAAAATTCAACCCAAATTTGAGGGGACCAAGCAAAACATGATTATGTATTTTTGCTCAGCTAGCGACATTGGACATCAACCACACAGCAAACGCTAATACTTTTTTCATATACGGTCTACTTTCTTTGTATAACAGTTATATCTATTAACGTATTAGACAGGACTGTTTAACAGATTGAAACCGACTGAAAATGCAAGCACTGTCTTGCTCGGGCTCTGGCATTCTCAGCGGCGTCAAAATAAATGTCCGCCGTGCTGTCAAAATAAAAGTCACAACAACAAGCGCGGCTTACGTCACTTCAGAGTTTCTACTGGTGGTGCGAATGCTAGTTCCTATAACTGAGTTCCTATTACTACCCGGTGCGAAAGCCCCTAATTTTCAAAGGACCAGAATATGCTGGTCACTTTTTCCAGACTAGGGTTGTCACATTAAAAAAATTGACAAAGTGAATAGCAAACCACTGGAGACTTTTTTTTGTCATTTTTTAAAAATTTGACAACCCTACTCTGGAAAAAGTGACCAGAATATTCTTCAAAACTTAACCTTTTGTGCTCCACAAAAGAAAGTAAGTTAAAAGGGTTTGAAAACCACACACAAGGGTGATTTTTCATTTTTGGTTGAGCTATTCCTTTAAAATGATGCTGTATTTGTCTGATGTAGAGCGATCTTTTGTTGCATGCTAACACAAGGGGAAACTGCCCATTACTGTAAGGTGTAGTACTCTATTATGACATAAAAACCAGGTGGTGTTTGTGCTCCTCACAGCTGTTTTTATTAGAACAAGTACCTTATGTTCAAGTACGTTGGAGAAGACCTCATGAGTCATGACAGAAACTCCCAATAGAAGGAACCTCAAAACAAAGCTGATGTGTCTGTTGGCCTTAAGTGACTAGTTATATAACAAAACAACCTCTTATTACACACATTCTCTCTTCTCTTGCTCTCAGCCAGTGCCGCTGCTAGCCATTTTGGTGCCCTAAGCATAATTCCTTTATGATTTTTCTCTCCTCATCAGCATCACACTCTTTTTCTCTTTGTTTATATCTTGCCCTGTCTCTTCCTCTCCTAAAATTGGCTTTTTTAATTTACTAAAGGTTACAATTTGTATTTTATTCTCAAT